CTGGAAAATCTTTGCAAAACCCTTAGGAACAGGGTGTGACACACACACACACACGCGCATATTCAGACCAATTCGGACCCCTCGAAGGCGCGGCAGATCACTGTTTTGAGATCCGTTTGAGTCATCAGAGGAGTGCCAGACGAGCAGATCTTCATCCGAAAACACCGGACTGAAAGACACTGCAACCCGCCACCGGGACATGTTTTCATGGCTCCATATTCGCCGAGTTTGTGGTTTTCACATGTTGTTTTGATTCGTTTTCGGGGTTCAGGCTTTTGTGCTTTTGTCATAAAATCAAATCTCTGACCCGACATGTATCGAAATCCTCCAAGCTGGTCTTTCCCAGAAAACCATCCTCCAACAAAAGTCTGTCAAATATATCAAAGGTTTTGAACTATAGCAAACGAACTATATATCTATAGACGTGTGGAGGATTTGATCTATTTCGCGAAATCTCCAGAAGTCTCCAAAAAACTGCTGTATCAAATCACTGTGGAGACCACCAGTTTCTGCGCTCTTTATTTGAGGTCTGCCAGATCGCGGCCTGGGGCTTTTTGCCACCCAGGAGTATGAAGAAGGTGCAGCCTGGCGCCGGCGACCGTGGAAAAAATGTGCATGTTCTAGTGAACAGCTGTTTGGGATGCTGTTTTTGGAGCGCTTATTCTGTAGAAACGTCCAGCAGCCATCAGTAGAGCAGGTGGCATGTCACATGTCTATGAAGGCCAGCGTTTCGTGAGACGTAGATGTATATTTTTGCCGATGTGCATGGGATTGAGTAATTCGCTGAATGAAATCCACAGCGATCTGCAAACGAGTCTCATTGGAATGGAGATGGGAGAATGAATTACAGTATATACATCCTTTGCGGCTTCTACTTGTGCTTAAGGGACGTTTTCATGCTCACCCCCATACCCAAGGCCCAAAGCGTTTTGACCCAGGAGGATCTCGTGATGAGAGGATCTCGTGAGGAGGTTCAACGGTCTTAACCACGGTCACCGGTCGAAAACGCCAGGATCCCAGGATCTCCACCCGTCGGTTCTTACAAAATGGAGCTGGGTGTCCCATCTCCGCGGTTGTCGGTCAAAGACTACTCCGCGGTTCCGGGTTTTCCTGGGCCGCCAGGTATGTTCCACCATCCTTCACTGGGCCCTGGGAGATATGGTCGACCCAAGTTGCTACTGGCTTCGACCGGATCTGAACGACGACCTGGCCGACGGACACGAACGAATCATTGACCATGTTCCGGCTGAAGGTACTGTTTGGCCCCCCAGTTGGAGTCATCCCTGTGGAATCCGAGATGTTTTCTCCGAGTTCTCGGCATCGTCGGGAGGTTCGAGAGTACTTCGCCTCGCACAGGCGGAGTCCGGTCGCTGTCCGCCGGCACCAGGCGACTGCGTCTTGGAGGAGCGACCCTTCTTCCGGCGCCACGGCGTGGCGCAGCTCAAGGGGCCTCTTGGACCATGGCTTTTTTGGGTTGGGGAAGCGGGAAGTGATGCCGTTGGACCTGCTGCAGGTAAGGAAACCCATTTCGTTTGAAGCCGTGAGGTCCCACGGGAACTGCAGGGTGGTGATTGCATGGAATTGGAAGGAGGTGGAGGCCCAAGACTAGGTATGTCATGGTATGTCTGAGAAGCTTGGCATGAACAACCCTCCAGCCCATTTCAGTGACATTTGTACGCCCCAACCAGGATATTCCGTGATATTCCCAGACAACGAACGCACCGTTCTGACATGTTCTTTTTCATTTTTGTAGACATTCCGCACCGTCTGTTTTCGCTCCTTTCCACACCTTCGAACCGCTCGGCTCGTGTGGTTGTTCGGGCGCACGTGGGGTGTAGGACATGAATCATCATGAGTCATCATGGTCCCCAAATCCAGTTGAGCTGGCATTGTCTTACTTCAGATGTGTTCTTTCTTATTTTGGACTGACCACACCACGTAGTGGCCCTGAGGGCACGCGGAACGCGGAACGGCACGGGGTTTCCGCAGCGTTGCACCCAACGCGGGGCGGGAGGCACCAGAAGTTCTTCACCAAAAGCTTTCGTGCCAAGTTCGAACAGATCAAGGCCAGCTCGGAACGATGGAACGAAGGGTGGTTCGATCGATGCCCGTGTGATCCCGTGGTGCTGGTGACATCCAAAGGAAGGGACATGGAATGCATTATGAATACTGCAGGGGAGATTCACATGGACCTCCAAAACCAGGTGTTGTCTTCCATGGGTCTATTCTCAGGTTCCATGTTCGTTTGCGGCGGGTAACCCTCCAAGCTTGTAGGGGACATTTTCTGCTCTCAATTCGCCATATGGAGAACTTCCGTCATGGGAGGGCGAGAGATTTTACATCGCTCGAGGCTCCCTTCACGATGCCTGGAGATGAGGCTTGGTGCTTGGGTGGCGGAGGGTCCAGCATCGTTGGACAGGCATCACTGGGCTGGCGATGTGAACCCAGTAAGGTCGCGGCCTCTACCATCTCCGCAAGATTCGTGTGATTCGGGGGCTCTGAAGCTTCAGGAAACTAGAACTTGAACATCCAGCTGGGAAACTTCATTTAGTTTGAACACACGAATGAAGCAAATATGGGGCTTCCTTTTTTGTGGACCTGGTTGGTTTTGGCTGTAGCTGAGTAGCTTTCCTCGTGGACTCGTGGGGGGGGTCAGGAAGACCATGGTGAGATTCTTTCAAACTGTAGCCCATTGCCAGCAACAGTGAAACGATGATCACGATTCTTGTGATGTCGGCCTGCAACCTCACCATCATTCACTGGGATACATGGGATATATGGACCCAAATTCAAAGCCCACAACGCCCTTCGGTGTCCACCCACCGCGTTTTGAGAGCGCGTCACGCCTCCACCTCCTCCACCCTTCCCTTCCACCGGACTCGGTCGGAGCTCCTCGTCCGTCCGTGTACGGCGGAGGCTCAAAGTCACGTCTATGCCTCTCCGGCCATGCTACGCTCGGCCGTGAGCTTTTGTTCGGCATCGCTCATGACGCAGCAGAGCCTCGGCGGGTCCGGGGTGAAGGAGGGCAGGCGAAGGGGCAGGGGCAGGTGAGGCATCGACGTCTTTGGAGGCAAACCGTTTGGGAACACTGCTTGTCGGGTGTGCAAGGTTGGAAGGTTTTGGCCTCGACTCTTGTCGGGAGTTCGACAGTGTATTTGGAGCTGTGGAGGCAACCATCTCGTCGTTGGAGCAAAGCCAATGGTGGTTTCGATTTTCAAGACTGCCAATCAATCCATCTCTTCGTTTTTGCCGTTGAAACCGGTTGATTCTGTCTGTCGGCCAACCTGCGGGTCATGGGGGGTCATGGGGTGCAGGTGGTGTACCCACCTTTCTTGGAAGCTTCATGAAGCTTCATGGAATAGGCAGCTGGCCGGATGGCGCAGATTTGATCCGCTGAACGTTGGGGATGAGGATGATCTTGGAGCTGCATCATCCTCCACTGAGCTCGAGCCATCCGCTGGTGCCCGGATGCTCAGAATGAAGCGACTCCCCGCGCGGGTTCCGCGGGTTCCGCGGGACGTGGCCGAATCCGGTCGAGGATGAGGACAAGAGCTTGATCGATCAGTAGGTGATCAGGGAGCATCAGTGAGCTATAGTTGTGTCGTGCTGGCCTTTTTTCCAATTCAACATAGTGTGGACCATCTGTTCTACGGTATAGATGATACATCTTCGAAAAACCAGCCACCTTCTGTCAGACCACCACCTGGCTGGTTCAACGCCCCAGACGACCTATTCTCGGGACCGAGCCCGGTCCAGGTCGATCGGTCCGAGACTCGGTGACCGTTCCACCCGAGCCGAACGGGTCGACGGCCACCGGGGATGGGGTTCCGCACCCGGAGCACCGGTTCGCGCGCTCTGGGTGAAGTCCCTGGAGCTCGGGGCGTTTTTGAAGTGGTCGAGCCATGTCTGGGTCTATTCTGTTCACCTCCTGGGGCTTCACAGCTCTTTTGGGTGTCCGTCACGTCCGATGTCGAGAGGTCGGTGGCCCTGGCCGTGGCCAAGCTGTGCCGTAGCGCGGTGCCCTGCTGCCACGAGGTCTCTGAAGAGGTCCTACAGTGCCTGGGTCGCCGGGTTTTGCTCGTCGGCTCACGGAGAGAACCTCACGTTGTTTCGAGGACCTGAAGGCTGTGTTGTCCCTTGTTATTTAGGGTATGGAACTGGAACTGGAACTGAGATGAGATTAGTTTTCCTCCTCTTGCTTAGCCCAGGTTGACCCCTGGTGGTCCAGGATTTCTCCCAGGTGCAGGTGATCAACGCGAGCTTTGAGAATCATCGCCCCGTCTTAAGATCGACGAGATGGAGACGACCGGGGTTGAAGAACGCTACTTTGATTCCCCTGAAGGCATGGCTGCTGTTTGGTGCAACAGATCGGTAGAAAGAGATTTGTCACTCTCTTCATGTTCTCAGCGCTATTCCCCTACCTGCAGCAGTTGTTTGGGTGAAACTGGGATGTAGGGAAATGTAGGGAACCTAATCTCGGCCGAGATCTTGGCCCACAAGGTGGCCAGAATCGGCGGCCTGATCGTACAAGATAATAAGATAGAACACCCATCACTTTGAGCCTCATCAATCCCCTCCACCTTTAGGGTGTTATATGTACACTGTTTAAACCTTCTCAGAACCGACCCTTTTTGTACAGGATTGCTTTTGGGAGATATCCATGGGAAAAAAAGAACAGGGTTCTGCTCTGCATGGAGTCCAGAACAAACTGCCCGAGTGAGTTTCCATCTTCACCCCTTCCCGAACGGCGTTCCCGGCGTTCCGCTCATGAAATCGAGGGTTAGTGCCAAGCAGCGTCGGAAGTTCTCCGCTTGAGAGACTGAGCAAGGAGTTTGAGAGAGAGGGAGAGCTAGAGAGCATTGAATCAGGTTACGGTTTGCGCAGGTATCGCTTGAAGGCGAAAGTACATACCTCCCAACTATCATACCCTCGGGAGTTCACTTTTGGGCTTTTTGGCTTCTGCTTCGCCTTTGGTTGAAAGCCTGACAAATGCAACTACGTTCGACTTTTGAGTCCTTCAAGCTTAGAATTTCCTTTGAGATCTTTGAGGCTTCGATGTTAGTCAATTTTGGTAAGACTCACCCTGAATTCTTGCTGCTCATTTTGAACTACACCTGGATCTTCCAACTATGCAACATTTCTGCCTTTTGTGGCGGGTTTTATTGATGAACAGGCAGACATCTTGCACAGTTCGAAGATCCAGGTATAATGAATGTATAATTCTTCAGGATTGGGAGGGACGTAATTTTTACCTGAAATGCATACTGGGATTCTTCTCTGGACATCATCTCAAGATCGTGCCTGAGGCGCGCGATCTTGGCCATCGAGATGAATATCTTCGTGGGGGAGTGCCGCGCCGGGCGGACGGGATATCGTGAAGAAAGATGGCAAGTCCCAAGTCGAATGCAAGCATGTTCGAGTTTTGTGCGGCTTGATGGTTGACTTTGTGGTGCTTGATGGTTGCAGTGGGACACGTTATAGGACTTTTGGGGCAAATGTGCCGCAAAATGAGGGACACGTCTACCTGCTACACCGGAGAAAAACACACACCATCACTTAAAAGATCTTAAAAGTCTTATCTTTCATTTCTTCAGAACTCTTCGGGAAACCTGTAGCCACAGGGGCAGCCGAATGGATCATCTTCACCAACTTCCACGATGTTCATCCACTGAATAGGAGATTTGGTTTTAAGACAACCCGTCGTGAAGCTTGTGCCACTGCCCTGAAGAAAAGGTCAGGATTTAGGAGAACCATTTGGTTTTCTAACTTGGGTGACCATTTCCTTTACTTCGGGAGCAGCACCTTCGGTAGGTGTTGCTTCCTCACCTTCTGCCGGATGAACCACAGTTGCTTCCCCAACGTGGTGTACATCAGCGAGAAGAGGCCGGGCCACCGAGACGACCCCGCTTCGAGCCGACCGAGACTCCGGTCGGTCCAATCCGGGGCGACCGTTCCGGATGGTTCGGCTGGCTGTTTGAGGATGTTCCGGATGATGCGTGGTGTTTTATTTTGTTCTCTTCTCTTCTTTTTCCGAAAAGGAAAAGCAACCCAGCGGTTTGGGATGCCGGCCAAAGCATTTGGCCATTCTGCAGAATGGGTTGATGACGCAGCTGGTGTGGCTTTGTATTCCTAGTATTCCTAAGTTTTTCTTGGGTAGCCGGGTAGCCATGCTCTCTGTGCAGATTATCTTCGGGATTCATCTATGTTTTTATGTACTGGTGATGAGCTCATTCTTGTTGGCGCTGCGTTTTCGTGACGCCGGGTATCTCACCCTCCACGGCAAGCTGGGCGATGAGACAGTGCCACAGCTGCTGTTCCCTGACATGGACCTGAACAGCAAGACACAACGCACGCTACTGTACGTGATGCTCGTGTGTATGCTGGCAAATTGGATCGGTAGCTTTCAAGCCTTTAACTCGACAGACTTGGGATTTCGCGGTGCGATGCGGTCCCAGTGCATGCTGGTGCATGGGTTGCAGCCGGTTCTCATGCTTGGAAACGGCCACTTGAAGCTGAGAGAAGAGGGTGCTCGGTCGTGGACAGCTCTTCATGGCACATTTGCAATGCTCTTTCTGTTTGCCCAGGAGAAGCAATGACCAAATCCGCGAGCCATGCGGTTCGTTGCTTTAGGTTGCCACTTGCTGGAAAGCGCTCCACTCAAGAAAGGGGCACGCGGAGTCGAAGACGGAGTGGAGGAAGAAACCACCTGGAGAAACGACCCCGCAAGAAACTCTCAAGTGACACTCCGACTGGCTAACATGGAAGTGGAAAACCCATGAACATCTCAGTTCGTAGAGGAAGGCAAATGCACTCCACTTTCATGTGATGTGTTCAGAGTGTACACGTCGCTTTCACGACTAAACTCTTGACTGTCCAGGACAGACTCTCAACATCTCTCAACTCGTTCTTTAGACGGGGGGTTTGGTATACGGGTGAAACGCTCTAGGCAGTCTTGGATCCCGCGGATTGGCACGTCTTCGTCTTTGGGGGGGAGACACCTTTGTCGTGACCAATGGTTCGCAGCCGAGCAAGACAGACATCCAATGGCAGCGTCGTTTCACGTTGACCAGACGTCCAGGAACTGCAAGCCGTGCAAGCCGTCTGATGTTTCTTTCCGCAAGGAGTTTGATGAAGGCGACCCATAGCGGCTCAATGGTCCACACGAACGGATGGATTTTGAAATCCCAACTCGGTCAGGGTGCGTTTGGAGTCCCTTGATCCAGCTCGAAGATGCTCTAATATGCATTCTTCGAAGTGGTCCAGTCTGATCTTGGAAGTGCTGGGAAAAAAAGGCAAGATATCAGTTAGTCGATACTGTTAGTTGTAATAATAAGTTATCACACTTATAAGACCAGTTTTTTTTCTATTTCAGAGTAGTAAACAGATCTCACCGAAAAAGAGAAGACACAGCATTTTTCGCATCGCATGAACTCACACATCTACATAGATCTCTATCTGGACACCGCCCGAGGGGACACCCGCCGCCGGGTTCCGCGTCGCACCACGACGTGTCCAGGCAGTTCCGTGCCTTGCGGAAGATTCAGAAGGGCGAGGAACTCTTGCACTCATACCTGGGCCGGGAGTGGGGACAGCTCAGAAGCGACAGGAAGAATCACAGGGTAAGACATCAAAGTCTTTTTGGAAAAAAAGAGGCTGTCAAAAGCTCCTCCAGAAGCATTTGACTCTGTGGATTTGGAAGGTCTGTTTTAGGCCAGTTTTGTCTGCCTTGCTGCTTGTTTTCTCGTTTCCGTACTGCCGGCAGCCAGACGAGTTGGATTCCAGACGAGTTGGATTCGACTCGCCGCTGGTGATCATTTTAAGACCTCAACTTCCATGTTTTTGATAGACGATCAAACCACCAACTGTGTGTGTGTGTCTTTTGGTGGTGCCCGGAAACAACACAACCACTCAATGAGCTCCAAGGCCTGGAAAACCTTTGGGCCACAGGGCTCCTCCCGCTGCGACAGCCGAGGCTTCTGCTCCCCACCGAGCTTCGGCGGCGCCTCCTGTGGCGCTCCAAGGCCTTCGAGTGCGACTGCACCCGCTGCACAGCAGAGGATCGATGGTGACGTGCCTGGTGGTATCAGGTGGAGCTTTCATGGCCAGGAAGAAGGGGAGGTGTAGTGGGGGGGGACGAGGAGCTTCACTTGTTGATACTCGTGCTTTCAGCCATCTCATCGAAGGCAATCGTAAATCCAACGATCGCCCAGCACCTCCTGCCCCATTTCTCACCGCCTTTTCCAAGCAACATCAGCCAAGATCTTCCGGATGACCAGTTTGGGATGTGATCTCGGCCACCATTTTCAAAGCCGTTTGGATCATGTGAAAATCCAAGAGATTTCTCCCCTTCTCCATGGCATCCAGAGAGGCCATCCCAGTGGTGTTTTCATGCGGTGGCCTTCAAACTTCTCGCTTTCGTTCGCGAACGAACGCCTTCGGGACCCAGCTGCGGCGTCTTTTCCGATGCGTCAGGAGGATCCGATGCGCCGGGTGGCTTGCCGGAGCTGTGCTCATGCCAAGGAGCACTATGAGGCACCCGCGATCGGAGCACGACGGAAGAAGCGGTAGCTGAGAGGTCATACAACGTGGCGAGGTCTGGAAAGGTCAGGTGCGACCAGGCTCATGTAGACTGTTGATGAAGAACCCTCCCCCTCTATCTGGATGGTAGAGCATCTCCATATGGGGTGGTACAACGGTGGGTTCTGAGCTTGCCCTAGAGCTTCTCAGGTTTTCTGAAGAACACCGACACCACCATCTCCTGACACCACCATCTCCTGGTGTAGGGCCGGGCGTAGTTCTTTCAAGTCTTGGAGAGCAACATTTCAATCATCCGATTTTGGTGGATGGGTTGTGCTTGGGAGGATGGTGGATTGATGGATTGAGGAGGATTCTTCAAAAGAGACGGGCGGTGAAACCGGTTCTGAGAGGCGTGCCTGAAAACACCCAAGAAGCTACGCAGCAACCCAAGTCTACCCAAAGCACTATCTCACCCCGCACTGAAGTTTGGGCGAGCTGATGCGACATGTATATAACATTGCATAACATATAAAACCTGGCATTCGGCGTGATCTAGAGTAGACTCAGTAGAAGAGGCACTGGCTCCAAAGTCTCTGAGTTGGCACATGCGAACCTCTATCTCTTCCCCCGGGGTCTTTCTCCCATGCTCGCGGTCTTGACCTGCGAACTCGGCGAACTGCGATCGGCCGAGTGGGTCTTTCGCGTTCGTTCAGGTGATCTTTCACCCGGGCGTGTGGTTGCGGTCGGAACCCAGTGGCTTGGTCTTCAAGGGCGAATCAAACACCTCCCAAAACGCTGCGGTCGGAACCAGGAAGCCATCGGAGAAAAGGTTGGAGGCCGTCGTGTCGTTAGCTTGGGGTCAGAAGGTGCTCCAAAGAAGGTCCCTTTAGAATGTGCCAAAGGGGATATCCAGGTTTGCTTGCCAACGCTCGTCGTACTGAACATGTCATCAGTGTCTTGAATCAGGGTTTGAATCAGGGTGTCTATGTATTTTTACTTGAATCTGCACTGAACATCCCTAGTGGCATCCGAACTCACTCGTGCCGGTTTCGGCATCCTGTGGACTCAGTCATTGAGATCACCAACAAGACCAGGATGCTGAAAACAGTCCTCCCTTCTTCATTCTTTACCCTGGTTTTTGTTGGGAGGGTAGAAACATCACCGAAACTAAACAGCACGTGATCAACAACATGCCAAAGATTATGCGCTGTTTGGGAACCTTCAGGAACCAGTGTTCGTTCAGGAACCAACTCGCTTGGTCATGCGTGGTGTGAGGCTGGAAACAGGGCCACCAGGCCACCGGGCCCACATCACTGGTCCAACAGCTTCGCCTCGAAGAGGCCGTGGCTTAACACCAGCGCCACACCACCACCAGGACCCACTGGAGTTGGGTGGTTCATGGACACCCCGAATCACATCTGGGCTATCAAGAACGAAGCCCCCCAATCATCTGGGAGGTGGCCTGGGTTGTCGTCCAGAAAGGGTGTCAGAGTTGGTGCCACGATCAACGAAAAAATTCACCGAAAACATATGACACCTGACCTCGATTGTCCTGGCTGATTCTCCTTCGAGGCTTGCAGGGAAAGCAGCTGGCCTTTCTGAATGAAGGACAACGGCTCAAGGCACGCGAAGGACCACGGTCAGGAGGGATGAAGTTGGTTTTGTGTGCCTGGAAGTCACACACACACACACACCCTGGTAAGAACAAATATAGTGGATTGAGAGTAGATGGCACAGACGCCAAGAGGTGGTTTATATGGACCCCCATTTAAAGGACATCTTGGGGTCTGTGCCATCTACTCTGAAACCACTGTAGAGTGAATTTGTGAATTTGAGGCAGAGTTCTAAGGCTAAGGTGTCCCTCTTGAAAGGACCAACTAGAAGGACTTAGCTCGCGGACGCTCTCAGAGGTCGACCGCGAGCTTAAAGTAAGGTCGACTAGAAAGGAGATCACCCCCTGTCATGCGATCTGGTCTTTTTCTCCTGAAGGGTCATCTGTGTCCCATGTGTCCCTGAGCAGCTCCAGCCAACGTTTGGCCGGAATCCGACTTGCTTTCCCCACTATCTAATGTGTGTATGTACGTGTGTGTGTGTGTGTGCGCGCGCGCATACATACATTTCATTACATTTCTATACATATCTTCATTGCAATAGAGCTGCCCTCCCAACTAAACACATACAAACGGAATCACAATACCAAAAACCCCTGGAATCGAACGGCGCGCAGCCAATGCTGGAGCCTGCGCCCCTTGGCACCGGCTGACGGAGGTGGATCTGTGGATGAGGCCAACACCAAAGTAGAGGATCTACACCGATTCAGAAACCCACATGGAACCGGGCCTGGCATGGACCAGACTGGAAGACGAGGAATGGCGAAGACCAACCCGACGTGGGTTTTTCGGGTTCCATGTGGGTCTCTTTTAGGGCGTATACTAAGCATACTAGACGTTTTTGAGCCGCGCGCAGGGGAGGGGCTGCTGCCTGTCCTTGGACATCGTACATCGTTTCTCAACTGCAGCCGTTTGCTCAATTCCTGTTGAGTGGTTTCTGCTTGGATTATTGAAACCATATAATTAGTCGTGTTTCAGACATCCCTGCACAATGTTTTCGCCCCAGACACTCTTGAATAACCGGACGTCCGGATTGCAACAAACTCACTTTGTATGAGACAGGTAGCAGGTGCTGAGACCTCCAACACAACAATGAGAACAGTGGCCGTCAGACATTCTATTGAAGGAAGACCTGAACAATGTAGTAGGAGGAATAGACCAGAGATACTAGGCCACTAGGCCTCTTGGACCCTCAAGTGCTCGATTTCTTCCTTATGTCTTCCTTCAACCGGACACACGGGTTCTACAAGCGACACTCTCTGCTTGCTTGGTTGTCAGGCGACTGGAGAGAGGAGTGGATCATGGATCCATGTGAAGGTGGGAGGGTGGAGTGGGATTGGCGGCAGATTCTGCCGTTGCAAATGAAAGAAGCTTTCACGTGGTGGTCGAGAGAAGAACACCCACCGCGAATTGGATTCGTCACCATGAGCCGATCATGCAGACTCTTGATTAATCACCCCCCCTGGATTGAATTAAAACACATAAAAAGAAACCCTCTTATTATATATCTGGGGTTTGGGTCGGAGCCCGGCTTAGCGACGCTTGCGCCGCGGCGCAAGCGCCCGGTTCTGGCCCACCATCCCCGGTGCAGGTGGAGCGGCAGGTCGGCTGGGTGCTGACCAACGGGCGATCCTTATCGCCTCCCTTGCAGAAGATGACCCTTGGCACGATCGGACCCCAAACACCGGTGGGTCACACGTGGGTAACACGAGGGTTTACTGGCCTGTAGTAAAGGCCAGCGAGGAACCAAGTCTTTGTAGTAAAGGCATGTCCTCTCATGTGTATGGGCATGGTGCGAGGAACCCTCATCTTTTTTCGGGAAAGAGTGAGGTTGTCGTCACTGTCGTCGCCAAACCTTACATGTTTCTCTTGCTTTTCTCTATCTATCTATATATGTATATTTGTTTCCTGTTAGTATGGAAAGATATGTACACTATCTGTTTCAATATTACTGTATGACTGCATGTACATATGTTACTTTATTTCCATAATTGTTGCATTTTATTACCACACTGTATTATGGCCTTATGAATTCCGTGTTATTACCTTTAAATGCTCAGGGTATTGCATATTATTGTTATTTTCTTTCTGTGCCATCATGACCTGCATCTTTTGTGCTCGTCCGAGCCGACACACACACACACACGCACATGTGCAAAGAGGACCTGAACCAGCTATCTCTTTAGATCATTGGATGTACTTGATCATCCCCTACAAGTTCTCCCAACCCTTTTCATCCCAACCGATCCTTCCTTCGCCTCTCGACCTCTTCCGCATCCAGGCTCTGCCTGCCGCTGGATGCGGAGTCGTGGCGTGTCGTGGCGGATCCCTACGACGGGCTGCCGCTGCCTGAGTGGCCAGGAGCGCCGCAGCGTGTCGTGCGACTGGTGACTGGAGCTTGTCTCGAACCATGTTCTCCACCCGTTTTTTGGACCTCAGATTCTCCTTTGACTGGTTTCAGGCTAGTGAAAACGATAGTGAACACCATCAGCATTCTTAGAGATGAGTTGGTGCTTCGTGGTGCTGTTCTTCTTTTGATGGCTTCTTGGTGGATTGCCCTTCAGAAGAACTGCCCACCGGGCCGCCCGTCCGCACCGTTCAGAGCGGATCGGGCGTCTGGGCCGAAGGTCGGACGTTGGACCTGGTCGTCCTGCATGGAGCCAGGGGAACACGTGGGGACACACATTGTAGTTCAACGATGGTTTTGTTGCGCTATACATACATTCATCATGTTCCGGAAGGACCACCTTGGGTGACGATGTTCCGTAGTTCTGGTAGTTTTTTCCTGGAGATCTACGCTCCCCCAAGATAGCCTAATGCACAGATTCTGCGGATGTACATTCTTTCCAGACCGTCAAGTGCCTCGGGGCACCGTGTCGGGTCCTGCCCGCTGCACCCTCCGGCTCGGGTCCTGTTGCCCTTTGGAGGGGTTTGGCCCCCCCTCCAATCCCAATGCTTTTGAGGGACCGTTCAGGTGGTGTTTCGTCTCTTTCCTTTGGCACCGGGCGGTGTTTCGGCGAACAGGATGGCGGCTCTGGCATGAAGCCGCGCTTCTGTTGCTTGGAACGAAGGTGCGAGTGACCGTGAAGAACCAGTGGATTGCTCTACAGAGCAACCATGAGCAATCATGAGCAGTCCACATGACATGTCATTGCTCCTGTGCCAATTGCAGGCATGAAAAACATCTGGTGACCTGCTGGAGGTCGAAGTTCTTCGTTGAACATGACGGTTTCTTCGTTCTTCGTGGTTGAGATTCTTCGTGCAAAATTCGGCGAGAACTTCTTTCCAGCCATGAATTTCTCACTTCAAGCGGGAACCAGGAGGTAGTTGGAACCGGGAACCAAAAGAAATCCTGGACTGAGAGGGCTTCTCTCCACCTTGGTGGAGAGAGATGTTCGGCCCAAGACCAGCACAGACTGAGCAGTTGAGAGGCGAACAAAGTCAAGTTCAGAAACTGTTCCGGGTTCAGAAACTAGGGTTCAGAAGCGTTGAGAAGCCTTTGAATCAAAGGCTACAGATGTTTCATGTTGTTCCATGATGTTCCATGTCGCAAGGCCTGCGGTTTCTATTTAATATATACAGTCACTTCTCTGATTTGTTGCAGCTGTTAACACACCTGGCCTCTCCCCACACATGGAGGATGTTCCTCGGTGCTCATCCAGCTTGGGATGGGGATCAAGCCACCCAAACTTCAAAATATGGACCCCGATTCGGGGGATCCTGCATGGGAATTCTGCCGAATTCCCCCCTTCTTTCGGCCGGTGAAACGACCCCAAGACCGATGATGACGGATGTGACGGATCCCGCCTAAAGAGGTGCTGGACTCGATGAGCTTCGCCATCGACGAAGGGTGCCTCTTTCTTTGATTCCATCGGACATGGCAGGATTGAGCCGAACTGACTCCATCTGACTCCTCTTTGTTCGCGACTTGAAACCGAACCCATGCGATGGAGACAAACGACGGATCGGTGACTGGGATCGTACCCTCCCCTCGGGTTCACGCAAACCGTCGGTGTGCACCGGCGACACGACACGGTCGCGGGGCGCAGCGGGATCCGCCGCGGAGGGCGGGAATGGCGCCGCGAATGGAGCCGCTTAAAGCGGCGAAGCCGCGAATCGCTCAGCAAGCCAAGCCGATGCCGGGGGCGGATCTGCAAGGATGTTTTTTGTTTTTTTCCCAGACTCCAAGGTTCTTGCCAGTGGATGATGTGCAAACTCCAGTGGCGGAAGACGAGACCCAGGCAGTGGTGGAAACGCACAATTTGCATGCTGCGAATTTCACGACACGACGTCCATGTTGGACGTCCAGCTGGGCGGGTTTTAGGCACGCCTCAAGGTCTTCGTTTCTCCTGCAGAGTGTTTTGACTTTTCAATGGTTTGTTGTTCCATTTCGCCTGGTTTGGACATCGCTGTTGGAGCTGCCAGGGATTCTTCCATGCAGCAAAGCAGTCCCCCAATTTTGGAGCCAGAATGCAATATTGAAGCTAGCTTCTGGCTCTTGGTTGTGGTCTCATTTACTGCGATCGAATCATTGCCGTTTCTATACCGACACTCAGTGGTCAGCGGGCTCAGGAGTGTGCCTGTGTCCAAAACTGAATGACAATCGCATTGGGCGGGCATCCAACCACATCGCAAAAAATGAAACCCGCGCAGACTCCACTCGTGATATTTCATTCAATCCCACTGTTCATGAGGACCAATCAAACGGATGAACCATGATGAAACAAAAGGTATATTGAACAGTCACCAGCCACAACGGACTGTTTTCAGAGCTTTTCAACCTGGACAAGTTCAGATTGAAGTCACACACTATAGATAATGATTTCTTATAGACTATTGACTTATTGATATACAGTAATTAATCGCACTTTGATGTTCCACCGCACATTTGATCAGTTCAAGTGCATCCAATCGGGACCTTGTTTTAATGGTTGGTGAATTGATCGATCAGGAGGAAGCCTTTTCCCGCGAGATCTTAGAGCAGCTTCCTGCCGACCTCGACCTTCCCTGTGCAGCCTTCACACAAGGCCGCTGTCCTTTTGGACTGTGCTGCTTAGACTTCCTGATGGTGTAGTGGGAAGGAGGTGCCTTCCAAGAGTCAATTTTCGCAGATCCTGCATCCGAGCATGCAATCCAAAGCCGTCCAGTTTACTGAAGCTGGTCTCCTCTTAGCCCCCCAAAAGTGCCGTTCGACCGTTCGAACCCGGCAAGAACTTGAGGTGCCGTCTTGCCACCGCCATGCCTGGTTCCGGTGGTCGTCTTCTGTTCCGCAAAGAACTCCGCTCCATGGGCCGACCATCTTGTTCCTAGTAGCGATGCCCTTTGCTCCTAGTAGCTTCTTGCTCCTACTGTAGTAGTATGGCCAGGAGCCCCTAGTAGCGCCTTGCTCCTAGCAGCGATGCGCAGAGACCATCGGATTTGGCACTCACAACCATCCAATGGATGGGTCCATAGTCATACGGAGTCATACGGCGGATCGTTGGCCATTCTGGCTCAAGCGTTTTTGAAGTACCGGAAGTGGAAGGGCCCCTGACGGCGCCTTGGAGTGGTTCTGGCTGGTGCTGGGTGCTGGGTGCTGGTGCTGTGGGCTGGCTGTGCACGTGGTGGAGACAGGTTGCTGGTGCGGGGTGCCGGGCGCCGGTGCGGGTGCTGTGAGCTGGCTGTGCGCGTGGTGGAGACAGGTGCTGGTGCTGGTGCTGCCGGTGCTGGCGCTGGTCCTGTGAGCTGGCTGCGCGTGAGGTGGAGACAGGTTGCTGGTGCTGGTGCCGGGTGCCGGCTGGTGCTGTGAGCTGGCTGTGCACGTGGTAGTGGACTGGTGCTGGCGCCGGAAGCTGGTGCTGGTGGTGCTCGTTGTGTGCGTGGTGCAGATTGGGTGCTGGTGCCGGGTGCTGGCGCTGGCTGTGCGCGTAGTGGAGACACCCCAGGCTGTATTGCGTGTAAAAATTGGAGCTGCTGCCAATGCAGGGTGCAGTGCAGCCCAGAAAAATCTTTTGCATGCTTTTGCTATCTGGGGACTATGCTGGAGTAATTTTTTTCTTTTGAACACCGTGTGAACTCGGGTGGTTTCGCGTGATGGGTGGTTTCACCATATGCCAGAGTGAGCCTCATTTGCTGCTGCGATCTTGCCTGTCATGTCCCTAAACCTGTGGTATTCCAAACCAAGCAAGATGTTTTCCCCCCCCAAGAGAACTATGGCTGTGAAGAACATCTCAATCAAACTCAGTCATATACCCAGTGCGACCGCGGCGGCTTCAACAGTGCGAAGCTCAGGTGGAATTGGTTATCATGGAAGGTGGAGCCCAACAAATGCCAATTCTGTCCGCCCAAGGGCGCGAGTTCAGAGCGTCTGGGGCCAGTTCAGAGCGGCCCAGGCCGCGCGGCGGCAGGCACGGAGGAACTGCCCAGCACGGGGGAACTGCCCAGCTGGACACGAACGCAGCACACGCAGCGCACGGATCGAACGCAGCACGCGGGCGCAGCGCGCGGAGTCGGCTCCGGCCGCATGCACTTGCCGAGGATTCCGGATGCTTGGCGCGTCCGCCTCGCGGTTCGGGGCGACGGAGGGGGGGAACACCCGTGGATCGGATTTGGAGGAGTTTCGTCAAGAACGAGCAGCCTGCAAAGAGGCAACAAGCCTCCCAGAAGGGTGCAGTTGGCGGAGTTTTCGCGAGCTTTCGTGGCTGTCGATGTGGTGCTGGTGCCGGTTCCTGGCAGGTTGCAAGACCCGACAATTGTGAGAAACCGTCATTCAGACTTATGGGAGATTATCCCGAGGCTTCCAACATCTTCCAACAACCATTCATTTCAACCATTGTTTTAGTAAGGAATTTACACTACAACAACAGGTCAACCTTTCTTTTAAAGGTCTTGGAAGGCTAGGAAATATATAATAGTATTTATACCAGTCAGGGGTGGCACTGACAAAGCGCACAGTTTGCACAAAGGGGCGACGGATTCTGATGCCTTTTGGATGACAAATGTTGAACACCAGAAACATCACTCCAGCCTTAAGGAGGAAAACAAGAAGCCATCGCTTCAGACGTTGCTGGACGAGAGAGATGCACGCACTCTGCGTCGATGTGTGCGCGATGGAGTCGACCAGACGGAGGAACTGCGCAGCTGTTTAACATTGAAGACTTCGCGAAGTTCTTTGACAAGTGAGATGCTAATCAATATGAATCGGTCAGAACTGCCGCCAGGGACGATGGTTGCGGTTTACTCACCCACAGTGTGATGTGCTGCTTGGATTGAACAGGCCAAGCAGCTTGAGCCATGTAGATGGCTATTTTTTGTCGACTGTTTAAGTTTAAGCATCGTTTAACTGGCTTTTGATCGTGCGCAGATCCACTGGAAGAACCCAGGGTGGCCCAGTACTCATTATCAGACGTACTCTAACTTTCCAAAACAATGGGTTTGGCCCGAAACTGATGGACTTGCAAGAGAAAATGACTAATCGAGTCTGTCCCGCAGCCAAACTTTCTCCGTTTTCGATGTAATTAATCAGTTTCTGGCCACACACATTCCACCCTTGGTGACCACGTGGTACAACCCAAAGGGAATGGGTAATTTGGGCAAGCGCTTTTCCCCAGAGTGGCAGGCGCTTTGACCTTGCAGCTGTTGTTTGCACAGCTGAGGACACGATTTGGTCAGATAAAACTTGTGCGTAGCAAAAGCTACCAACTTTTGTGCGGTTTCATATGGCCATATATGGCTATGGCTTGAACATCAGATCAAACAGGTCAACCCCCACAACAGCCTTGGATTCCCGTCCATGACTTCGTCCATTGTTTGAGCCATATAATATAGCCATCAAATAGAAGGAACAGGACATCTATAGACATGGACAAAGGGCGTGCGGAAAGCGTGAGTCTTTTCTGCAGTGTCGAGTGGGGTGAAGAGCAAGTGAGTGCAGTGTGCGGTGTCTGCGGTGTCTCAGTTTCTTCCACATTTTGATGTCCTTGCTAAGCCCTGAGGGTTTTGGTCAGATTGGCTTTAGAGTTGGTATATACTTAATTCTTTAGACTGCTTAGGCTTCAGAGTGTAAGGCCTGAACCTCTTTGGAAATGGGCATTGAACCCACTCACAACTTCGGTTGGTGATTGGTCAACACTCGGTTTGTGGATTCCCCGGAATTCTCAGAGGCATTCGTTGGTTCTTTATTCGACGAAGATGGGGTTCCGACATTTCCACGCTCCGCCGGAAAAACGTTTGCGTTGCTCGGTCAACGATGGCTTGCCCAGGGATTTGGGTGCTTCGCATTCCTTGATGCGACTAGTGAAAGTCGAACAGGGCACTTCATAACTGATATAACTGTGGAAGACGTTGCGGATCTTTTTCGCCCCCCTCCCCAATTGGCAGAGGCAGCCAGTTTCGGTCGTTGTGCGGATCGTTTCACACGAAGCTCGTTTTCGACCCTCGTCGCGTGCTTCGAGCGCTTCGCCAGACAGCCCTTGCTGCCGCTTTTTGGGCGACCGCTGGTCATGTCCCAGCTGCGGCGAAGAGGTGTAGAGAGTTTTCTGTCCCGTTTCGGAGTCGAGGGGGTCGGGTGGTTGGGGGTTCCAGACGCTCCCTGGGCCCTAGGGATCACAGTCGTACCGAACCTCAGGTTCGGTGCGACTGGACCCGACAAATGGCACCCACATCACAGTGTCGAGCACATCACCGTACCTGAGAAGGTACGACTGGATCTATAGGGCTTAGAGGATCATCCAGGTCTTTTGCTTCCGAGGTTGTCCCATGTGTGTTTTCTCCAATGCTTCAACATGTCTTTACGAACCCAAGTAACCTTACGGCAGCTTCCAACTTCACTTGGAAGACGTCACCCCAATACACTCAAGAAACAGGAAACATCCACACTCATATATAAACGGCTTGAGCACTCATGAAACACGAAACACACCAAAAACCTATTTGGAGTTTCCATCATGGAAACTCCAAACTCCCTCCTCCTCCTGTCCCCTTTCTCCGGTTTCTCGCCTCCCCTCCTCGCGGTCAGGTGGCCGACCTGACCAGTGAACGGCTCCTAGGGCGCCTCGCCGAGCGGACGTGCCTGGGACGGTCGCTTTATGGGCGGTCACAGGCGCCTGGCATGGCAAAAGGCAGTGGATTCATATGGGTTTTCCAAGAAAGCGATGCGTTTTTCAAGTTTGTGAACTGTTTTTTGTTGCGTCTACGGTCTACGTGTGAACTGGTGAATTGATGTGCTTTTTGCTTCTAAATCCCATTGTTGAACTGTCCTCTACGCAATCATTGGGGCCTCATAAGGGGAGCCACAAAAACACATTCAGTAGGTGGGGCCTGTTTTCCAACAGTTTCTTTTCTTTGCGAAGCTGTCCAATCTTCAGTCAGGGTGTCTTGGACGGCTCCCTGTCGTGTTCCCCGGGTGCAGTGAAAGAACCTGATCCAAGGTGGCCTCCCGGACAGGCCCGAGAGAAACAAGGTTTCAGGACATCACAGATGGTATGAGGTCCGGTCTTTGAACTTGCAGATCGAAATAGTCAGAGCCACTCAGTTTGGCTCGCAAACCTACCTTGGTTGCAAGGCAGCAAGGCGAAGACTGCTTTGATCGGTTGGAAGGATTTCCTCGCAAAACTTTGAGCTGCAGCCCCGTCGACTGTTTTACACAAACAACACATTAAAACAAAAACATGTGTTTTAGTCTATGTTTGCTGTCGACGTTTTCGGGGTGTTTTTCAACCCTGAACACCCAAGCGAGCGAACCGCTTCGCTGTCCACCTCGTGAATTTGCGGAGAGAACTCTCCCCCCCCCCTTGTGGAGGTGAGTGTGTCGGGGCTGAGGTTCTTCACCCCAAAGATGACCCCTGCCTTGGGCTCGGTGAGTGCGAAAGCTGGAACTTCCGCCTTGAAGATGGCCGGGTCCGGACGGACGTCCGGTGCGTGGTGGGTGACGGTGCGGTGGTGTCAATCGTTGGGAGAAATGGGCAGAACGGTGACACATCGTCTAGTGGTTCTTTTTCAATCCCACCGTGCTTTCTATCTAAACCATAGCTCAGAGGTGTCTAGAGTCGCTTTCAACCAGGTCTGGAGTTTGCTTTTTTTTCTTCTCATTTGGTCACCGAGTGCAGCTCACCGCCCCTGGCCATGTGTGAGCTGTGTTGCCATGAGGTTCAATGAGGGCTGTGTTGCCATGATTCACTCGACCGAGCTTGGAGCGATTTTCGCCGGGAAATGAGGCACTGAATCACCCCACATACGGCCACCACACGTCCGGGTTGGTTCGGAGCCACGAGGTCCCGCTGGGGGCGCTCCTTTGGAAGCGACACCAAAACCGGCACCCAAACCCAAGAAGGGGGGGACCCACATGCGTGTGTAGCATAAATCGAGACCACTAGCCAATGCATAGACTGGTCATGACTGGTCTATGTTCCTTCCTCTGGGGGGGTTCGTTTACAATTCTTGTTTTCCACCTGGGTCGAACTGGGAGGTCTAGCTATTACAAACAAACATAGATCTACATAATACACGCCCTCATGCTCCCTGACCCCCCCCCCGTCGGAGCTCCTGGAACCCGAACCGCCGACCAACGGCGCCGACCAAGAGACGCCAGGTGAAGCGTCTCTTTGTGCGGCAAGCCTTCGAACTGAGCGCTTCTTGCAGCCAGCGTTTGGGACCTCGCCACTGGTCGGCGCCTGGCCGCAGATCTGCGGCGTGAATTCGGGCGCCGCGCAGTCGGGTGAGGCGGGTGAGGGTGGGAAGACGTTCAGCGACTCTGCAGGGTCGCATCGAATCTGCTGCAAGCGTCGAGCTATATGCACATCCCACATCAACGGTTTCTTCCCTCTGGGGCAGACCACCGAACCGTGGCGTTTTTGGATGTTCTTGACATTTTTTTTCATGCCATGCCATGCTGTAGGTTGGGGCACAAAGAGCACCGTTTTCAGCGAGAGTGATGCCGCAGCCCCGCACGACGTGTTTGGCCACGAATGTGTCGACGTCCGTGACGTGGGATGACGTGGGCTTGAGTTTCAGGCTCATGATGAATTTGTTGGTTGACTTTTATTTGGATTTTGTATTCACGTCCACCCTATTACATCTATTACATAGGTGAACATTCGAGTCGCTGGACTTTGCGACTCCTTCGCGCCGCCCTCCGCCTTCCTGGATGGGAAGTGTGCCGAACTCCTTCGGTGACCGCAGCACTCCATTGCCGCTGTTGCGATCGCATCGAAAACGGGTTCGCCCAGGTGCAATGGGCCCGTTTGTTCTTGGTGGATCTGGCCATCTCTCGGCTAAACTACGGCGTGGGCCGTTTTCCAGCCTTGGGGATACTGCTCCTGGACGCGCTCCAGGACACGCGCTCTTCGACGTGCAGATTTAAACATCCCCAAACATCCCCAAAACCCTGTGGTGGTCTTGACCAACCCCCAGTTTTCTATCGGCTGAGCTCCTGCATGGGTAGTTGATAAGCCAAACCTTTCTCCAATCCCCGGGGCATCCCATAGCCCATGGCATGGCCCACGGCCGGTGGGGCAAGGTAGGTGTCCATGGCATGATGCATCATGGCCCATGAAATTCGCAATCTTCCAGGCAATTCCACAGCTGGTTTGTAGGAAGGTTTTAAGAGCACCTCAAACATCTCAAACAATGATGGGCTCCTTCATTCAAAACCCATGCCGCCAGGAGCTGTGGAGCTGGTTGACCACATTAGATTCCTGGTTTTCAGGTGATTTTGTATCCCCGAAAACTAGGGGACGTTTTCTTGTGCCATTTCTTTCCATCATACTTTTTGGTTGCGTGGCTTTGCGTAGAATTGAACATGAAAACCTTTTTTTTGGTGTTTTGAGAGCAACTCCTAAGGACTTGTCCCATGACCCCAGCTGTTTCCTCTTGACCCGGACCTTAGAGGCACAACACCTGCTAGGCACGGACCGCGGACCGCGGACCGCGGACGGGACGAAACAATGCGTCGTGGTTTGGCCGAATCGGAGGTCATCGACCGGGTGGTTGAGTGGGAACGGACGCAGGGAAGCATGGTGGAGAAAGGGATATCACCGATTTTTGTTTGGAGTGTGGTATGTACAGTAAATAAATGAATATGGGTCAATATGGGTGTGTATGTACAAATAGGGAGACCTCCCAGTTTGACTCCCTGGAAGAAGGGAAATAGATCAAAGACCCTATTGGTTGTGGGTCTCCCCACTATAAAAAAAATATACGATATAACATTTCCCAGTGATGTTTTGTCACCCATGTTTTGTCAAGGTTGACCGTGGTGTGTTTTGTCACCCATGTTCGCTCTTGCGAGGCAATGACCCAGATCCTTTGGTCCAGCAGAAGCTCAGAACGTCCCTTGGTCCGTGTGGTGAAAGAGTTGAAGCAGTCTTGTTGCAAAACCAGCAGTCTCCAGCTTTTGGACGCCAGAGGTTTGCCCAACGACGCTTGGCATCGAAATATCATATGCAAAAGTCATTCGGAAGAGTTCGTAGTTGGTGGGTTGTGACTCATGTATAGGAAAATTGGTCTTCATGTCAAGACACTTACAGTAGTGTGAAGGACCCATATACTCATACATTCACAGGTATAAGGCTTGCTTAATTAATCTATTCTTCTGCATCTTCTCGCCTGCTGAAACAGGCCGCACCACGCAGCCATTTTCTCCAGAGCCTGAGAAAAGGGGAAAGCCATTGCGGCAACGACCTGTTGCTACTTGGCAGAAGAAATGTATTGACACCTTTTCCGGTTTGTATATATAAATATATAAGAATATAATATATATATAGTTGTCATAAGCAGAACACAAAGGTGTCAAGGATGTACTTTCCTTTTCAAAGGATTCTTCAGAAGGTACCTAATTAGACTCTACTAGACACAAGCGGACCGGCTGGACCGGGTGGAGCGGGTTGGGGTCTGAGACGGTCACGTCTACCCCAGCGGCCCTAGCGGCTCTAGGCCATCCTAGCCCTTATCGTCATCCATTGTTCGTGGGCAAAGTATGGCAAAGTTCAGGCCTCTATTTTAAAAATTATCTTTTAGTCATGAATCATGAACAAAACTGTACTTAGTGGCTGCCACTGCTGGTGTAGCCGCACATTTAGCCTCCTCCGTGTCAGACAACATTATTTTCCTCCTGACACGCGGATGTAGAACCACGACATACTGTTCCTTAGAGTAAACCCCCCATATACCATATGCCATATACCTTGGTATACCTTGGTCACCAACATAGTGGGGATTTACACAAAGAATATTGGAGTGTGCACCCCTAGAAGATCCTAGAAGCCAAGCGACCTGATTGCCATTTGTTGTCTCTTTAAAACCCAATGGATCATCAAAGCCCGATGATTTTCCTGGAGCCCTCAGAGTCTCAACGCCGCGACGAGCCAGGTTTTCCAATCACAGCTGGCACGGACCATGCGCCCCCCAAGCTGCAATGAGAACACCGATCACTTCGCTTCATCCACGGTGGAAACGGTCCGGTCCGCGGAAACGGGTCCGGACTGCATGGGGTGGGTCGAAAGGATGAGGTGTGGGGAGAATGCCTGGTGAGAATGGATGAGGTTCGACGCGATGTTCCATGATTTCTTTTGCAGAAGAAACACATCGAAAAACCGTAGGAAAACGCAGCCTTTTGCCCGAATCATGGGACCTTCAGGGACAATGACATGGCGAGTTTCCGATGACCATTGTTATCTAGAAACAGCTGGTGAACTCCACTTCCATCTGAAAATGACTCGAAGAGTATCTGTTAAACAGCTGGTGAACTCCATATCCATTGATTTTCTTCCATCTTCTGTTATTCTGCTCTGCCTAAGAACTGTCGGGTCAATGGCCTGAGCGGGGTCGGGAAATCACAACGTCGACGCCTGGCGGAGTTGGGAAAATCTGAAGTGGTGGCCTCCCAAACCTTCCTGTAGCCATCTGTAGCCTATATGCCTTAAAATAGGCCACCCAAACCCGAAGTTACTTGCAAGGACACTGACCAAGTGCAAGTCGCTTGGTCACTGTGGCACCACTGGTCCGCCATTGATGAATCACCAGATGAGAAGGAGTGACCCAACGGCTTCCGCTCTGTCAATGGAAGGAGTAGTTCTGAGTGAATTTTTCTATACGACGTTTTCGGACATCAAGTCGATAGCATATGCAGCATACATGGTACCATGGTGGTTCAAGCTCGCTTCGGGGGATCTAGGAAAACGTGTCAGAGACATTTCATCACTTGGAAAACGTGTCCCCTATCTATGAACCTGTGCATTGCTACTAGGAACAATACATAAAAACAATACGTAAAAATAAGCCAATTTTTCTTCATGGCCGGTCTGCATGGTCTGCAGGTTTCTTGTTGAGCTCCGTGTTGGGCACCTTTGGCCTGGTGGCTGGCATTCGCAAAGAACTGCTTGGTGTGGAGGAACAGAAGGCCTAGCAGTTCGGGCTGGGGGTAAGATGGGGTGAGGTTTGTGATTTACTCTCAACGTCAAGACGGGCAAAGTAAGTTGACAAACATGGCAAACAAGTATGCTCCTGTAGCCTATGTACCAGAGGCACTCTAAGACTCTAAGATCTGGGTGTGGCACCGTTTTTAAGATCTAGGCCTTCACATTGAAATCGCGCAGGCTTGCCAGATTTGTGTCGCTTTGGAATTGGTAGAGTGTCCACAGCCAGCACCTTTCTACATGTGAACTCGGACGACAGTTGAGCCCGGCTTCCCGTTCACATGTATATATATATATATATGTAAGTTATGTATATAAGGATGTACACCTTTTGAGATTCAGAAAGATCTATATACACACCCTAGCCTGCCTTCCACAGAGCATGGTGAGAAGTCTGTCTTGCTTGGACACCTTTCTTTTCATGTGCAAGGAAAAACAATTAAAACATTATATGTTTTTCTTTTTGTGTTTTGAAACTTGTTTTGATCCTTTCTTTATTGTCTCTCCACCTGTCTCAGGCGGTCGAGGGCGGCCTCTTCAGCACCTGCTGCGTGATGGACGGATACAACCACCCGATGTGGGAGGTGACTTGACGATGATCTCCTGGGCCAAGCACTTTTCGTTGGCCCAACATGGATTTAATTGAACAATATATAAGATATAATATATACACATATATAATATAACATATGAAATATATATTATCTAATATTATATACAATATATAATATACATATATATATATATAAGACTATATATTATATATAACTTTTACGTCACTGTGGTAGTCATGATTCACCCCTTCTAAGTAGGTGAAATGATGTTAGATGAATCCTTTTGGACTTCCGGGGTATTGAGGGATTGACGTCGATGGCCCACTTTTTGCCGAACCCGAACTCGCACGGAGTTGAACGATTTCAAGCCTTCCCTATGGGATCATGCTGTTTGTGTTGAGAAAGAGATGGGCTACGCAGCAAGCAAGGAGATTGGCAAGCTTATCCCCCTACTCGGGGCCCAGTCCAAAAACCATGGTGGCATATCCTTTGGTTGGGGCCCTAAACCTTATATTCACGATCCTTGAAATCCGCCGTTTCGTAGAGGTGTTTTCTCCGCCTTTCGTCTTCTCAGCCTTTCTCCGCCAGGATGAAGCCTTGATGAAGGAGGCGAGCAACGTGATGCTCACCTTGATCGACACGGGTGCGTACTTCTTTGAGCCATGGCAGATCCATGCAATCGGGATCCTGTGAGGATGCTCGAGAGAAACCAGGAACGAAGTCGGGATCCTCTTCAACTCGGGGATGATTCGGGGATGATCAGCTTTGGTTTTTGGAACACGGGGATCCGCTTCAGAATCTGCGCATCGGCACGAAACAGGTCCAGTCTGGGTGCAATCTGGGTCCTGATGTTCGGCCAACATCCCTGGATGTTTTGTCAATTGACGGAAGAGGTGAGATGCCTGGCCTGACCAGGATGGGTTTCTCAACTTGTTCATTGGGTCGGACCGGCTGCAAAAGGGCGACCTGGGTGTGTATTTTAATAGGGTGACACCTAGCCAATAGGTTTTTGGCCGACATGCAGTTTCATGCAGGAAGTAAGACATGCAGTGATCACCCCCAGCATAGCGTGAGGTGAGCAACATGTATCATGTAGGGCTATGAAAGCCCAATCGTTTCCAACTTCCACGATGACACGAAATGGAATCGAATTTGAGGATCGATCCCGACCACTTCATAGAACTGCAGAAAAATCCTGAGCCGAGAGCTCAAATCTGCTTGAACAAGGTCAGCACGAATCGATTCGTCACTCATGACATAAGCTGCACGTCGATTCCTGGTGTTCTTTTTCAAGGTCCTGTCGTATACTGGAGTCCACTACAAAAAGCATCAAAAAGTAAAGGATATATGATATTTACACCTCCAACAAACTTGTCTCACCCTCACATTGCAACCAAGGAATATCCCGGAACCACCCCAGAATGATCCGTGAAAATCTCTCACCAAAAAGAAAGTCAGTGACCACGTTCAAGGTCGCATGTGTCAGCGGTAGATACCCATCACCCACACGCTGTGTGTGCCGCAACCTTGGAGACACGTAAGGCATTGGGAGGCCTTTGCAAAACGTGACACCATATGGGATTCCACAAGTCCCAGTGCAGGGTTCAAAGCCCTGTGCAAGATGCCGTGCCATGAGCATGGATTCGAGAATTGAAACCACAGCAGCACAATCCAAGTGCAAATGAGCAGACCAAACCTTCTGCAAAGCAAGGAATAAGGCATAAACGTCGCCTCTGTAGGAACTGTGATCAGCCCCTGGAACCAGCTGTGAGTCCAGTGCAATGCCTTCCTCACCAGAGATCTGTAAGGCTTCACTTGCAGAGATTGTGAACTCAGCCACATCTTGCAAAACGGCACTCCCGTCAGTAAACACATCAGCCATGACACTTGGCACAGGTAAATGAAACGGCAGCCATTCCTTCCGTAGGGAAGACTTGATGTTTCACCCCTGCCACTGGGCCTCGACCAAGGCGAAATTACGAAGAGCCAAAGAAATATCCTTAAGAGGAATTGGAACAACGAATCGGATTTATATACTGTAAGCCTTATACAGAGGGTTCAGAGTAGATTGCACAAACCCGAAGATGTCTTTTATGTGGGGGTCCTTACAAACCACCTTTTGCCACTTGTGCCATCTACTCTGAAGTCACTGTATAGATCCTGCAAATTCGGACACTGGAAGATCCGATGTTCCTTAAAGCCTTAGTGTCAACTTGTCCACACAGGGGGCATGCATCACTATCAAAGGTCCTGCAATACTTGGGAGCTGATCTAAATCCCCGTGTAAAGAGTTTTACTGTATTTAAAACACAGCCTTTCAGATGTTGTTAAAACCATCCGCGAAAGATTCGTGATGAGGTT